TCTTTCCCTTTCTTTTTATCTATTCTTTCTCTCAGTCTTGGCTTATCTCTTTTTCCTTTATTTTCTTCCCTTATATATATCCTTTGACTAGCATCCTTGCTTCAGTCCCTTCTGTCCTACATTGTCTCCATTTCTCTCTCTCTCGCTCTCTACTAAATTGTTCTACGACTTTTTATCAAAATTGGCGTGCATAAATTGGTATATTTCCGTAATATTTCCGCTCAGTACGTGTTAAAAGTTTGTGCTACAACAGCATTATTTGGTACTGAACGACAAACAATAGCAATTTAAAAATACAAGTCTAATCTTTTGAATAATTATAACCAACGTTTTATAAAACGAAAAATAAACATTGTTAGTTGCGCGTTTATGACGCGAAATTATAATTATTTATGGATAGGAGACAATATGAACCGAACATTTATTCCGATAACAAATAACGTGTCATGTAATGCTAATAGCTTTATTGCCTTTGTGGATTTTGTTATGGCTTTGTACTCCTGCAACCATTTTTATAACAGTGCGTGTTGTACAAACAGTTGATTGGATTACGATGATTTGTAATATCTGGCCAAAGTAGAGGACTAATATCTGTAAGAGCATTTGCCTTGGTTAAACAGGCCATTCAGCACACAATCTGTAACGTAACATAATTTGTTACATAAGTTAAGAATAGGATACAGTGTTGTGAATTTATAGCTTACATTTGTAATGCTTTGGGATCGTAAGGCTAGATAACAGCATTGCCGAGAATATTTAATTCGGTTTTATTTGTTGCAAATTGTTATTAAAAATCAATGGTCATGTGAATTTGAATTAAATTTATAAAACATTTTGAACGTTTTCGTGCTTCGGAAGAGATGCAGACAATATCGCCTTGAAACAGGGCTAAAAGACCTTGTAATATGGTCTCCGAAAAAAATTGCCATGATCTACAATTTCCGTAAGTTCTACGGTGACGACTTAAGTTTTGTGCCAATTCTGTTTGTGAGCAGGTCTGTAGGAAAAATTACATATTTATTAAATATATCGCAAGGTCTCGACCTAGAAATATATTTATTTCACAGTGCATTTAGTCACTCAGCTGATAATGAAACTTCTCTTTATGGGACACCGATTATTCGATACTGGGTTCACATTAACCGATCACCAGCTCCTGTCGTGAAATAAAGACCCTGACGCTGTGTTTCTCCTCGCCAGGCATCGAGAGAGCACACGAGTCCGGTCTATTGGCCAGCCTCATCGGAGTGGAAGGGGGTCATGCCATAGGCACGAGCCTCGGGGTCTTGCGAATGCTGTACCAACTGGGGGCGCGCTATCTCACCCTGACGCACACCTGCAACACACCTTGGTGAGTCTCCTACTCGCCTGGTATTAGCGTCAGTTTCACGCCCATTGACGAATTATTGTAACGAGGGGAACGCTCTCTGTATCACCCCACTTGGTTATTGTTAACAGAAGATCAGTACTACGCTCTCCTTGTCATTAGAACGCCACAAACACGTCCTTCTCAAGATGTCTGTCTTCTGTCATGAATAGAGTTTCGTTTGTGCCCCATGGCTGAACGTATTTTGATCACTTTTCAGTAAATCTCGGTATTGCAATGACACTTGGTTTCTACCTGTTTATACGCTGTGTGTGTATTCACCGAAGTTGGCAATCCTGATGCACGTATTGTTACTGGTTAGCTGATTGTTGCTCTCTGTTAGGGCAGACTGCTCAATAGCGGACGAGCCGGGTCACCTTCCAAACATCGGCGGCCTCTCGCCGTTCGGAACGGTGAGTGAATCAAAACAATCTTTTTCTCTTAAGGTATCTCTGTATTAGCTAAGTTATTTAGTGTACGGTCCCGTTTGAAAAGTCATCCTTAATTCTGAAAAAAAAAACCCTACCATTTTGATGGTCCTATGTGTCCAAAAGAAACATTTTCTTTGTTTACAGTTTTTCTATGACCCGCCTTTTGGGAGAAATACGAAACTGTATAAGTTTCAGAACACCTCTGTGCCTAAGTTTCAAAATAGAGAAATCTATAATTTAGTCGGGGTTTCTCCTAGAGGACATTTTTCTACAAAGCACCATTTTTAAGAAACGCTCCATTGTATACGTTTCGTGGGCACAGTTATATATAATTTCTGAAATTGGAAGAAAAAAAAACTTTGTTGCCTTCGAGAGGATTAGCTTTGTGTTTCCCATTTTTTCTAAGACCCGTTGTTTGGGATCAACGGAGTGCATACGACGGATTTTAGTTATTATATTGGACGGTTTTGAGAAGCGTTAACATTACTAACTGTGAATTTCGTGCAATACGCCTATCTGGTCTTTAAAATATAAGACTATGCTTCGTATTCGATCGTGACAGCAGAATATCTCCAATTTTAGTTAAAAGAGGAATTGAAATGAATTAAATATTTAGATTTAAGCGCGTTTCTGTTTGTCTTTCATACAGCATGTAGCTGTCTGTCATCGGCTTAGTTATAAAAGCAAATCAGGTATCAGGCACACAACGAGCATTCCATAAAAGTGAGTGGAAACGTATGACTAACGCGCGTGAATATTTGAATATCCAATACCAACAGGAATTCTGAGATACACAACATGATGTAACCATAGATCTAGAACTAATTTCCTTCGTGATTTGCTTTGCAGTACGTGATCAAATTAAAATGAAACAGGGCACCCAAGTTTCTCGTCTTCTTCAATCCCTCCTGGCAAATACGGCGATAATATTTAAATTAATCCGTGAGAGCGTATAGTGCACACGCACGGAGAGCCTGAGGAAGAGCATGGACACCTCAGTCACTACAGCAGGTAACCCGTGTGGATCCTACGCTGATCTGCCCCAAGTACGGATCTAAAGAGTTTAGCCGTTTCGCCATAGAAGCTTGCCTCTTTTATGCATGATGGCACACGAACGCAGTTCTGTATTCCCTTTGGTGATTGGCGATTCACAAACGGATTTGACTCCGATATCAAAACATCGTGTAACATGTTTCAATATTTAGTTCCGATCACGCTGCGTGCCCCAGTTGAAAGGGCATTGAAAATGCACATAACATTTCGAAATAGCACACACAGACAAAATAAGTATTTTGACTGAAATATGAAGTTTTTGCATGTGTGTGTAGCTGCGAATGAGTAAGATAAATATTAGCGTCTAATCAGTGGGAACTGATTGAAAGAACATCGGGATTCATATTTACAAATTTCATTTCATTTACATATTGTAATTAGCTCGGTTAACTTAGTAAGGTGTGATTACGTAGAACCTGGGAAACTTGGATTCGGTTCCAGGGAGTATAACAGGTAAAATTATAAAGATTTCTGTCCTCTGGGTTGTAGCGCTGTGTAGTCTGGTCGATGTTTCAGAGGTCATCCATCGCCCTGATGACGGAGGCAGTATGACCTCTGAAACGTTGGTTAACATCGACCAGACTACACAGCGCTACAACCCAGAAGACAGAAATCTTCATACTCACCGTTGTGAAAACCTCAAATCTTACAGGTAAAATTATAGTTTTTGTTCTTTATTTTCTGACTTTTCAGACTGCGGGACAGAAGACTGTAAACTGAATGGTAGCAAGCTTTTTCTAATTTATCAAGTTTTTAAACATAGATAGTCATTTGTAGGCCCATTTCGTTCAGGCATCCTACACCAAAGATCTAAGATTGTAGGCCTACCAGTTTAACAGTTTACAGTCCACCATATAAGCTTGAAACTTCTTGCTTTCTAACTGAGTAATGAGGGGCCTTGACGTTTAAATATTTAGACAGAACGCGGGACGAAGCATTGAGGGCTTGTGGCGAGGTTCGTAGTTCGTCTGCTTGAAATCAAAAACACAGAAGTCAATTAAAGAGATTAGACCTCTTTAAATTTTACGTTACGATTCAATTAAATCATCTGAATAACGAATTTTTGCCTGAGTAATTAATTACGTATTCATTACGGACATAAGCCCGCTAAATATGCTAATTATGATGTCTTCTAATGATGTGCCTGGTTTTTAGTCCTGGCTATTGCAACCGATCATCGATTAAAGTTCATGTCTGCATTTCGGAAAAATTCAGATCGAGAAACGAGTCTAGGCGAGCATATGTCATGCATTTCTTGACTGAAAGTGCTCTCGGAGAGTAACCATTGTCTTTATGAGCGGTATATGAAAACTGTGCAGCTTCAAGATTGTGCTCAAAGGTATACATCTTCTGTAAAGTACATTTTAACAAGACTTAGTCACAGAGCAGTTCCATGAATTTATTTATTTATTTAGTTCATTTCGCGACATGTCAGTAGTTGAGACCATATAGCGTCTAGGTGAATAGAACGTTTATCTATGTTGTCGAAGATTCCTGGACATGAAAGAAAAGTAAATGTAGTACAGGATATTTTCAGTTTGTCTTAGCAAAGAAACTTTTGAACTTTTACAACAAAGACATTTACTTCCGTTACTGGAACTCAAAGTAACATATATCGTGGTTGCAATGTTGTTTCCACCTGTTTTATGTATGTTCTGCTGTCTGTAGCCAGGAACTCCTCCCTTTATCAACTGTGCATATAAAATATTTTATAGGCCCGCACACTCTCTTTATTCTTGTTTCTTCTGTTTCCTTTTCCTTCGCTGTGTTTCTTGTATCCGGACCGAGGTTTCTGCAAATGATACCTCATATTGGGAAACAAATATTCAGCTCGTACTGTAACCACGGAAATGTACAGTCTGTCTTCTTTGCTTTTTGACTTTTTGTGTTGTATTCGATCCGAGGAATGAATGCACGTCTGTGATTCGAACATCCGTATGTTTCTCAGAATAAGATAATACATTCTTCTAGGAGTTGGAGGTTATGCTTCTGTAAGTATTATCAGTCTTTGGACTGAGGAGAAATACACGAAGTAGAAACTAATCTCGCCTCCTGCTCTTGTAGATTTCTAAATTCGTGCATGAATAAAAATTGAAGTTAAATTGAGAACAAGTTCAGAGGAGATCATGTGGAAGTAACACAAGACTGGAGGAGGACCGAACTTAATTTATGCTCTAAACCTGGAATTTTTCGATAATTAAATGAAAAGTGGTACAGATGGCAGGACGTGGAAAATCTGAAAAGAGACCACTTTGGAGACTAGTTGTCGATGGGAAGTTCAGATCATGTATCGTAAACAGTCCGTGGGGATGTGAACTAGACTGAGCTTGCTCGGTGTAGGTGCCATCGACAGGGTGTTACGAACACGGCAATAAACTTTCAAGTTCTTCATCGATTGATTATCAACTGGTGAAGGAAGGGCCTGTGTCTTGGACTTAATAATTTCTTTGTTCTTCGCACAAAATGTACGAAGTGAACGTGTATAAGGAAATTTCGTAATTGTCCGTTCATATGTTTCATCTCCGAAACTATTGTATTACTTTTTATAAATATTGTATTTGGAGAGATGAAGCGGGCGTTTAAAAAAGAGGAAAGTAGTCTTTGTGAGTTCTACCATGACGAACTTGTGTATTTTTAGGATGAGACTAAGAACCAAGCGTTTATTTAAGTTATTACAGTTTGTGTGACAGAAATAGGAACTCTGTGGACATGCCTTAAGATGAAGAACATGGCCAAGCGATTCGAAGCGGATTTACGGTTTTGAAGAAGATAGAAACTGAAGGTTCTTATACTCGGAGTATTTCTGTATCTCATTCCCAACTCGTTTCTCATCACTTCAATTCCGCCACCCAATCTTTTCCAAAACTCCTGCATTCTCTCAATTAAATTCTTGGTTGAAAGTTTCTTTGCTCTCTCTCTCTCTCTCCCTCTCGGCCCGGTAAGTTCTTTTCTTATATTAACCCCTACTTACAGTCCCCCTTCACCGATGGCCAAATCCTGTCTCTGCGTCTCTACTACTGTTTGCTTCCGGACTGAAGAGAAACTTGGGCTTCAGACGGCGACACACTGAAAGGGAACGTTGCATAGAATCAGATTCCAATGGATTTCTAGCGAGAGTAATTGAAATGGACTTTGCTTTCAAAGACTGAAATTGGAATTGTCGCTTTAGTTAACTCGATTGTTAACTTATTTTTTTCTTCCGGGCTAATGGATACAGTCAGATTAATACGATAAGACATGCTAATTTAAATTCCAATTGAGATATGCAGATATATGTATTATATTTATTTCTTGCACTAAATTATACAGAAAATAAAACGTTTTTATTGAAGTATGCTAACATGATTGGGATACACTTCACCTGACTGAAGAAAACTCGTTCGAGAAGCCTTACCAAATAATGACGATCTTTTCCACGCAACCCTAACTGGTATACCTTTGACTTTAACACATGTTTTATTGTCTAATCTCCTTGTTTAATGTTACGTTAATTTGTATGTCAGAATTGACACCAAGTAATGTGTTAATACTGTAATATATATAATATAAACTAACTTTAGTTTTCATTCATCATTTTCAACTATGAACTGTGCATTTTTATCAGTCTTGTTCCTTCGGGCACTTATCGCAGACGGATTGATTTCTTTGGAAAGGATGCACGCAGATTAATATGAACTTTTATTTCAGTCTTTTTATAAAATTACATGTTGCTTTCCTTGTTTCAAACACGCCTTTTCTCTATGCTTATATTTTAGTTGTTCATTTTTCCGCTAATATCTTTTTCTGAGAACAATTTTTCCGAGACAATTATCTCCCGTGCGAACATAAAAGAAACTCATTTCATGGTATAGAATTTAAGCCCGATAGAAAAATAATCTCAGTTTTGTAACTCAACAGGGCTGGGAATATATTGAACAAGTTGTCGCGGA